AGCAGCAATGAAAAGGCGTTTTCTTGTCCTAATAGAAAACTCCCACAGCCTCGCTGGCTGCTCTCCGAAAGGACACGGTGGCCCCAGGTAGGAGGACAGGGTGACAGACGGACGGCTGTACACCCAACCCCCCCTTTGCACTCGGGAATTCACAACAGACTCTGGCTTTAGGAAACAACATATAAAAAAAATAAATCCCCAAAACCTCATCAGGAAGCATCTGCGGAGAGCAAGAGAAGAGCAGTGACATTCCCCAGGCGCAGCAACACCCCGACACGGGCCTTTTGGCAAATGCCACCTGGATCCTCCCCTCCTGACAAGTTCCAACCACCCTCCTGGTGGCTGTCAATGCAGGATGCCTTGTTAATTGATAATCAGAGTTAATGAGTTTCCTATGCGTTTCATTTCCTAGCACGGTTCACCGAAAGCTGCCTATCGAGCGGAGACGTACTGTTGCTGCGGGACTTCTCGATGAAAGGCCCGTGGGGGGGCTCAGTAGCTTTCCTCTTGTACGTCTTCGTGACCCGGTCCACGTCTGGCTGTTTCCGTGTCATCTCCTCCATAAAGGACTGTCAAAACACAGAAGGGATGAGAGAACCTTTGCGGTTTCAAGATGTTTTTCGTCTCCAGACCCTCGCTGGGACGTGCCAAGCCCATAGAGGAGACGGGAGCATTAAGCACTGGTGGTGGGGGCTTGTGGTCAAGCACAGCCTTGGATCTGCAAACACTGGAGTTCTTCCCTGGGCTGGCTTTGCTCCTGGGCGATAGCTCCAGTTGGGCCATGTGCTGTTTTAATAGGGACTTTCAAGAGAAGTCAATGCCTCCTCCGTGGAGGAGCCACCCCCCTGCCCCTCTCCCGGGTGCCTGCCGTGTTCGGCACTGGGCTCACCTGGTGTTCAGAGATGAGGACTTTGACCTGATCAATATTTTGTGGCATGGGCTCCTGGTCCCGCTGGATCAGGGTTGTCTCAGCCCACTGGATCCAAGCCAGGAGCTCTTCCAGAAGCTCTGCGTTCGCCACCAGCTCGGAAAGCGCAGACTCCAATCTCTGCTGGTGCTGCTTCGCCCACGTGAGAACCTGTTGGAAACGCAGAGACGATCGTTAGCCCGGTGGGGGGGAAACCAGGGTCAGGACCCGACGCCACATGGCCGTCGCTGATGGTGGTGTCCACCACTGCCTCTCACCCCCAGGCTTGGCAGACTCACCTCCTCGAACCTGGCTCGGATGATGGTGATCCAGTGTTTGATTGTGGTGATGCAGTCGGGATGGCAGGCGGCCAGGATGAGCTCCCCCATGCCCACCGCCGCGTTCACGTCCGCTCTCTTCTCCTCCACTTTCTTCATGAACTCCTGAAAGGCCCAAATGAACGATTTTGCAATATTCTCCCTCCCCCCCCTCGCCGTACATTTTGCTTGGGTTGAGCTTCCGAGCTCCCTGCTACCTTGTGTGCGTCAGAACTCCTCCGCCTGTGGCGACAAAAGCACAGGCGTCAGCCCTCCTCCTCCCGAGACGGGCTGCTCGGTTCACTGCTGCGAGCTGGAGGGACAAAGGGCTGCGAGGGACTTGAAAAACAAATTAAAAAAAAAAAACAAGGGGAAAAAACGCCCTGGCTGTTGGCCTGGGTTTGTGCGGCACCAGCGGACGGTGCCACGGAGGCTGGGCACCTCCCTCCCCTCGCCACCAGCTGCGCCGGAGAACGAAATGGTTTTAAAACCAGCACAGCTACCTGTATTCTGAGCAGGTTGGCTACTGGGAACTTTATTCTGTAAATCGCCTGCTTGACACAAAAGCGACTTAAGAGCTTTTGACCTTTCTTTTTTTTTTTTTTAAGCTTCAATTTAGTGCACTGGACATTAGTGAACAGCAGCCTGGACGGTCTCTGATCCCGGCTCTATTCCTGCCCTGCACAGCAGTGAGATCTTCTCCTCCTCCCTTTTCAAATCAGCCTTTATCAGCTCTTCTTCGGGGGGGAAAAAAGAAGTAAATAACCAACAGCAACCCAGCGCTTCGCAGTTCTCACTGGTAACTGCTGCAGGGCTGGGGTGTCCAGGAGATCAGTCACTGGGCAGAACCTCTTCTCCGAGGTTTGTGTTGACCTCCCTGCAGCCCAGACAAAGCTTTCCAGGACCGTTTCCACCCATAGCCTTCTGCTCACCTGCTTCAAGGCCTGCTCCAGGCGGGTTTGTTTGGAGACGGACAGCTTGCACACCGTGTCCCACCGGTTGCTCAGCTCCTGGAGCTGCACCTTCACCCAGGTTGTGTCGTCCCGGCTGTTCTCAATGAGCTCCCGGCCAGAGCGCTTGAGCACCTGGACTGTCCCCGTGCGCTTTCCCAGCTCCTTCTGGAAGACCTGGATGGAGAAAAGGCAGAAGCCGAGAGGGCCAGTCAGTCCCAGCGGGTCATTTCACATGGGGAATAAACCAGGGAGCACTCGTGACACAGTTGTAACATGGGTTTTGCACCCGCATCAGGGATCCACCACAGCCCGGTGTGATGGGAGGGCAGGCGGGCAGGGAGCAAGACACTGCAGGCAGCTCCTGAGCGCGTTTCGGTGTAAGTGCACGTGGGCCAGAGCCCCAAATTTCCACCCTGGCAGAAGCAGTCGTGACCAGGAGCAGGCGAGCTCTAGCCCAGGAGCTCCAGCTGCAACGCAACGGCTGCCTTGAACAGACGCCCAAGCCCTGTCCAGGGATTTCAACGTACGACCTAATCCAAACCCAGGAGCACCGGTCTCCAAGGCGCGCTGGAGAGAACTGCCAAGACCAAAGTTTATAGAGGACTATAAATTCAGCCACCTTTTCAAAACTAAACCCTCAACAGATCTGCCTGATAGCATCTCAGAAGAATAGAGCTCCGGCTCCTGTAACCTACATAAAAGTTTCTTCCCACTTGTTCACCCTGGTTTTGCCCTTTTTGTCCACCACTGCAAAGCAAAGCAGCGAGACACGCGGCTCTGCAGCGAGGCACCAACTCTGGCTCCTCCATCCTTTGGCTCTTAGGGAAGACAAGCCCTACTTATGGCCCAGAGAAGAGCTGGAAAAGGCGCTCTCACCTTGTGAGCATCCATCAGGTTCATGACCAGATCCAGGTCACCATGGACAGGCTGGTCTTCAGCTAACTGGGGTTCCACCTTGTAGAGCCAGTCCACCAAGGCCTGCAGCGCATCCATGAACTGGCCAGAGAACAAGAGGGCTTCTTCCAGCTTGTGCTGCCTGTAAAACAAGCATCCCCATGAACTTCCATGAACAAACTCACTTCCTTTTGTCATGTCCCAGTGACCTCCTCCAACCACCCCATGAAATCGCCTCCCCTCCTCTGCTCTCCGCTTTGCTAAGTCCTCGGTGAACAAGCGCTGTTGGTACAGCCTTGGGGCTGGACTTACCTTTCCACAGATTTGCCACACACCGTGTCCCACTTATCCCGGACTTCTCCCAGTAAATTGTCCAGCTTTTGAGTGTCATCTGGAAGCAAGGCTTTTTCTTTGAGGGCCCTGCCCGTCCTGATGGTGGTGTCGTAGACGGGCTGCTTCCCCCCAAGCGTCTTCTGGAACTCCTGGGAACCAGAGAGAAAGCAAAACTGTTTCAGAAAGCCTGGCCTTGGCTTTCAGAAGACACATGGTGCTTGTGAAGATCCCCAGCTGAACATTGCGCCATGGTAGCGGTAAGCGTGGACGTGCCTTTCCCCTGTCCTGATGGCAGAGGAGATGCTGCCCTGCTCCCCTGCCCGACAAAGCACCTTTCCACCCAGCGTCCAGCACTGGTCTCGCTTTGGTGAAGCTCTACCTTGTGTTTGGAGAGCTGGAGCTTAATTTTGTCGGGATCGTTGGAAATCTCCAGCTCCGAGTCCAGGTGATTCTCCGCATCCTCCAGCCAATCAATCAGTTTCTTCCAAGCTTCATGGAACTGCAGAGAAACAGGAGCAAGTCTGAAATTTAGCACTGGTGGTGTGCCCAGTCCCCTCCTGGGCTTGGGACCTGTTCCCCAAGGCTGGCCATACTTCAGGGTCTGTTGCACCCTTCCCGTGTTTCTCACCTGCTTGGCTCGCTTCCTGGCATCATCAAGAGCCCGTCCCCGCTCCACCGAGCGCTGGACAACCTTCTCCCAGCGGGACTGGACGCTCACCAGCAGGTTCTTGATCAACACCACATCCTGCTTTTGGCTGAGAAACTTCAGCTGGTTCCCGGTTTGATCCAGCTCAATGATCCGATCCCGGTGAGCGTTCACCTCGTTGGCAAACACCTGTGAGCAGCAAAGATGTCCTCTTATCTGTAAGGGAGCTGGACGTACCTGTGAGCAGCCCGTGGGTGCAGGGGAGATGAGGTGCCACCCTTGTTCCCTCCATCCCTTTTTAGCAGGGCCAGCTGTGACATGACAAGGGGGGATGGTTTTAAACTGAAGCAGGGTAGATTTAGACTGGATCTAAGGAAGAAATTCTTTACAATGAAGGGTGGTGAAACCCTGGCAGAGGTTGCCCAGAGAGGGTGTGGAGGCCTCATCCCTGGGAACATTCCAGACCAGGTTGGACGGGGCTGTGAGCAACCTCATGTGGTTAAAGGTGTCCCTGCTCCTGCAGGGGGGTTGGACTGGATGGCCTCTAAAGGTCCCTTCCAACCCACAGCATTCCATGATTCTATGATCCCAGGGAGCCATCAGGTGCTTACGGCGCCGGTACCTTGTGCTCATCAATCTGGGCCAGCACGGCATTGAGGATGAGGCTGGCCGGGGGTGCGATGTTCAGGCTCTGCTCAGCCAGCGTGAGCCAGTTGATGAAGTCCTGGAGGGAGTTCTGGAAGTCGGTGGCCAGGGCCAGCGCCTCCTCCAGCTTTGCCTGCGGCAGCGGGGAGGGAGAAAGGAAAGGGGAAAAAAAAAACACAACACGGAGGGTGAGAGCTCACGATCTGCGGTTTCGCAGACAGAGGCAGCCTTTGTGTCCCTGCCGAAACGTCCCTCTAACAGGAACCTCATCGCCTCAGCCCGGGAACGCGACTTGTTTACCAAGGGGAAGGGGATTCAGTGAAAGCCACCGCTTTCTTTCAAAACAAGAATCGCCCCTGAAAGGGGAGACCTTCATCGGCACACGAGCAGCTGCGTCACCCTCAGCGTCCTGGGAAAGGGATCGCCACGGGGAGAGCGGCGGCTCGGTAAATGAGGTGGATGATATTTCGGCGGTAACAGCTGCAGCACCGCAAATTTATTCTGGGCTGAGGCCACCGTGTCCCTTGTTTTATCTCATCACCGGCCAAAAGCCTAGGCTGGAGTCAGCTCGGAGGAGGATTTGGCCTGCTGTCTCGCAGAGGACCAACAAAGCCTGCCTTTCAGAGCCGCGGGAGGCTTCTTCCCACCTCTCCTCTAAATTAACCCAAAATGCAATTTTACTCTCATTTTCTGTGTGATTTAACCAACTTGGATGACTACCTAGAAAAAAAAAAAATACCCAACAGCTTGACGCTCAGACAGCACCATCTGAAAGACAAACTCAACCTGCTCAACCAAGAGGGACCTTGTCTGGAAAAAAAAACCCCACCCCAAAAAAACCAACCCCCAAAATCCCAGCCCTCATCTCCAGCCCTCCCAGGAAAGCAGAGCAGAGCAAAGCAGGAGTGACCGCTGCCAGACCAGCTCACGGAGCAAGGGTGGACGCCAACGCTACCTTTCTCTCCTCCATCTTGGTGCTGACCAGACACCATTTCTGCTCCAGCAGCGCAACGCTTTGCTCTGTCTTTGAGCCGGAGCCCGAGCCGTCGCGGTCCAGCAGCCTCAGTCGCCCCTTGGCCAGAAGCTGACTGTAGACGTCCTCCTTGGCCTTGAGCTGGCCGTACAGCTCCTGCAAGGGAGGCATCACCAAAGCGTTAAGCAGAAGGTAGAGCTCGGAGAGGGGCCACAGCTCGCTGCGACTCAGGGCCATGAGGAAATTAGGCTCAGGGCAGGCAGCAAAGTGACAGCAGCGCGTCACTTTGAGCAGAGAAAGGTGGGTAAAGCATCGTGATGCTTGTCCCAGGTGCAAAATTATCTGTAAGAAGAGATGAGGGAAGCGCTCTCCTTCCCATCAAACACAGATGGGAGAAGTTTTGATGCTGATATTTGACAGACAGGAGCTTGCTGAATTAAAACCATTAAAAAAAAAAAAAAAAAAAAAAAATTTCTCAGGCCGGGAAATTACCATGTGGGCATTGAGTTGTTCCCGGGCCGTTTCTGGCAGACCTCCTGTGGGTTTTGATGCCGACAATTGGCTCTCCATCCTCGTTAGCCACAGGAGGAAGTCTTCAATCTCACCATGGAAACCCTGGGCCTGTTCGGGAACATGTAATTGGCCACGGATCAGATGACATCAGCCACCGCTGATCCTACGCCAGGGTTAACGCCGCCGCGTTTGCTCCGAAACCAGATAGAGAGGCAGAGCTGGATGCACCGGCATGTTAAGGAGGGTTATACATGGTACGTCCTTAAACATCCAGGTGTGCCCGGTCCCTGCCGTGCGCCTGAGCAGGCGCCAAACCACGCCAGGACTAAGAGTTAAATGAAAAACTTGCAGAAAAAAAATCCCAGTGTCTCCCTCACTGCTTCCCCCTTGGGCGTGAAGGACCCTCAGCAGCGATCCCCGGCACAGGGGGGTACCCCTGACGTGTCTCCCCGACCTGCTGGAGCGTGGACTGCAGCTGCTGCTCCCTCTCCTCCGTCTTCTGCAGCACCGACTCCCAGCACGAGTTCAGCTTCTCCAGGCGGTTCCGCAGGCTGCTCGCATCGTCCCCTGCGCTCGACTCCAGCAGCTCGTTGCCCGCTTTGTTCACGGTCTCCACGGTCGCTTGGTGGGCCAGGACATCGTTCTTCAGCACCTACATGAGACACGATGGGCAAACATTGGGACTTAATTAATGGGGGCCCCATTAATTCTTCCCTGCTCTGCTGGACTCGAACCAACTCAAACCCTTTGTGAGAAATAAAATCCTGCAACGGGAATAGACTAAAAATGGACCTGGAGTGGGAGTACTCACGTGGTGCTTTGCGAGTTCAACCTCGATGATTTTTGGGTCTCCGTTGATGGGTTTTTGTGCGTCGAGTAGCTCCTCGGTGTGGGTCAGCCAGGCCATCAGCTCCGCCAATGCGTGCTGGAACTGGCCGAGTGCCAGGAGAGCGGCTTCTAACTTATGCTGGGCAAGGACAGGGATGGAAAAGGAAAGTTTAAGCCGGGAAAGGGGGGGAGCATCCCAACGAGTTTCAACCCCAGAGAGCCCAGATCTTCTCTCTTACCTGTCTGTGAGCAATTTTCTCGCCCAAATTCTCCCAGAGATGTTTCAGCTCCGTCAGTGGTTCCTTTATGATGTCTCTGTCTGTCTCATCTGTAGCTTTTTTTAGCATCAGTTCACCTTGGTGATTAAGCTTTTCCATCTCAATCTGCTGCTGGTAAACCTCCATTTTAAACTCCTGCCAAAACAAGCACGACAAAAACCAGAACAAAATGAATCATTGGTGTGTGAGCTCTGCAATGCAAAGCAAGCACCAGAGAGCTGGTCCCGCATACCTTCATCTCATTCATTTGCTCCTTAACCGTGCTGAGGTCAGTGCCGACAGGAGACATGTTGCAGAGTTTGATCACGGCGTTATCCAGCCAGTCAAACATGGCCTGAAAGGAGCACGGACACCGTTAGCCGAGGGAATGGCAAAGCGTGCTCCCCCGCGGCTGGGCGGGGGAAGGGGGCTGCTGCCTCCATCACCCCGTAACCACCACACTTGTCTTTCGGGGCAGAGATTGCCTGGCCAGCACGCGCTTTTGCAAGCACTTTCCTTCCCTCTCCTGCTTAGGATCACAGAATCATTTGGGTTGGAAAAGCCCTCTAAGCTCCCCTAGCCCAACCGTTCCCCTACCCCTGCCATCCCACCACTAAACCCTGTCCCTCAGCACCTCGTCTGCCCGGCTTTTAAATCCCTCCAGGGACGGGGACTCGCCCCCTTCCCGGGCCAGCCCCTTCCAGTGCTTGACAGCCCTTGCGGGGAAGAAATTGTTCCCAATGTCCAACCTAAACCTGCCCTGGCACAGGTTCAGGCTGTTTCCCCTCGTCCCATCGCCTGTTACCAGGAAGAAGAGGCCAACACAGGTTGACAGACTGGGAGAGTTGGGGGTGTTCAGCCTGGAGAAGAGAAGGCTGCGGGCAGAGCTGAGTGCGGCCGGTGGGGTGGAGGCCCCATCCCTGGGAACATTCCAGGCCAGGTTGGACGGGGGTGTGAGCAACCTGATGTGGTTCAAGGTGTCCCTGCTCCTGCAGGGGGGTTGGGCTGGGTGGCCTGTAGGGGTCCCTTCCAACCCAAACCATTCTATGATTCTAACACCCCCCTCATTACACCCTCCTGTTAGGTGAGCAATAAGGTCTCCCCTCAGCCTCCTCTTCTCCAGACTAAACAACCCCAGCTTCCAACATAAGGACCTGACAGCAGCCAGGCTCACCCTGCTGCTTCGTGCAGAAACGAAGAGAGATTTGGGAAGACGAATGCTGTCACGTATCTGCTCTTCCCTGGAGCTGGCTGTTGAACTCAGGCTCCACCAGAGGCTGCAAACACTCACCCAGGAGCCATCTCCCTGCCTTGCATTAGTGCAAATCCCAGTACGGCTCCAGGGAGGGGACTGGCAGCGGTGTTCCCAAAGTCTACCCACACCCCCCAAACAGCCCCGCCTCTTACTTGAAGTGTATCTTGGTATTGCACAGCCGACTGCATGGCTTCTTCCAGCTTTTCCAGCCTCTCTTTCCACGTTTTGTTTAGATTTTCCCACGCGTTGTTCATCTGTGGAACACAAGATGGCCCACAAAATTCGTTAGGCTCCTCTACCGCAGCTCCCACTTGCTCCTACCTGATTTTATCTGAAGGAGAGGCCTCTGGTTTTCCTACCTCATCAATGCTCTTCTTCACTTCTGGTTTCTCAGTTTCGCCACAGGCAAAAATCAAATCAGTTCCAAGGAGTCGGATGAACTCCAGCTCTTCATGCAAGCCATCCGTCTCCTCTTTAATAGTCTGCGTGTGACAGAGACGAAGGAATAATGGAAATTATTAACCTCCGAAATCGCCCCATGAACAGGAGGGCTGAAGCGTGGAGATCCCTTCCTGCTCTGGTGTCCTGCGCCCTGGCCGACAGCCCGACGCCAGACCCCAGGACCAGTTACGCCAGCGCTGCCACCGCCGACCTGGGCTGCTGTGCCCGGGGGTTGGGGGAACTAAAATAGAACATCTGTATTTAGCTCAATGTGTGCCTCACCTGCCCGGCTGAAGACGCTGTTTACAAGACTATTTTGTACTGTTTACAGGACTATTTTGTCAATATAGGAATTAGGTTTTGAGACTCAAAAGTTGCAAACCGAAGTCAGAACAGTTATAAAAGGGCAATAGCAAGGACAAACTGAGCAAAGCGTCAAGAAACATCCCTGCTCCCCGAGGTCCAAGTCAAATCCACCTGAAGTGGATTTCACCACTTATCTGAAGCACCACCACACAAATCCAAGCCCTCCCAGCTTTACAATCACCTCCGGTCTCACCAAAATCTAAACATACACTTCCCACGCTAGACAGCACTCAGATGCCTTCAACTCAGACTGGGAGCAGAGCCGTGCAAACTTCCACATCGCTCAAAACAAGTGGGCACACAACTCTGACCACACGCTTGATCAGCTTCCCAAAACAGCAGCAGATAAAGTGATTTAAGCATCATTTCCTTGTCTGGAACAGGGGGCGGTGGCGGGGAAGGAGATGTGAAATACGCTTCTGGTTTTTTCCTTGCAGCTCCAAATTGCAATGGAAATCACATTTCATAATCCGGCTGCCTGCCTACAACTCTGCTTTACAGCCACTTCTGGCCATGCTCATATCTAATATCTACCCCAAGTTAGCTTAGAAGCTGGACGCAGACAAGTTCCATAGCGGTGTACAGTCCCACGGTCCTCACCTCTGCTGCTTCCACCTGCTGCTTGATGATGGAGGGGTCAATGCCGGGGCTCTCCAGGTCATGAACAATCTCCTGCGTGTCTTTGATGGTAGTCAGGAGGGCTGCCATGTCGTACCAGAACTTCTCTGCAAGCTCCAGGACATCAAGGAACTTCATTTCACGTTCCTCTGCCCGAGCTTTGATGTCTTCCCAGAAGAAGACCATCTGATCCAACTTATCCTGGATTACTGAGGAAAGGAATGAAAACATTCAGTGAAGAAGGAAACCTTTCTACAACTCCAAAGCATTTTGCAGACACTTTCCACTTAGAAATAGCCAACAGAATATTCAAATGGGAATTAAAGATGACCAGGACTATCAGAGCATTAACTCGGAGATACTGAGGGACATGAGAAACTCCAGCTTGCAGAAATAAAGCCTTTATTTAAGTGCAGGCAAGCTCAGGGCAAATTTGCCCACACACTCTCTGCCAATGAACCTCTGTTCTGGCCACCTCTAGCGTGAAGTCTACGCTCACTCAGTCCAGGAGCTGACTGTTGAGCTGCCAAGAAAGGTGCCAATTAGTGCCAATCGTGTTGACGGGTCTTTTTGTACTGGGGATGTTCCTTCCCTCCGTTAGATGCTGAATCCACACCAACAAATCATTTCACAGGGGCCACCAACGGTTGCCACAAGAGACCAGCTCCGGGCGACGTCTCAGCTCGGCTGAGCTGAAACCTCTGCCCGAGCAGCCACAAATACGCCTTTCTCCTCTGGCTGATACCACCCCGTCTGCTCCAGATGGAAGCAGGCACCAGATCTCTACATGCAGAGGACTCATCCTTCTTCCTAAGACCAGGAGACCCTCTGAAATACACCCCTGGGATATCAAAGCTTCCCCCACAGCGATGGAGCCATGGTTTGGGCAGGAGAAGCTGGGCACTGCTACCAGCCCAGCCAGCACCTCCTGTTAAATCATAGAATCGTCTAGGTTGGAAAAGACCTTTAAGATCATCACGTCCAACCGTTAACCTAGCACTGCCATCCCACCACTAAACCATATCCCTAAAAAAATCCACCCTGAGATACCTTTTGCTGCCAGGTCCTTGTCCGTTCCCTGCGATCGGCCGATCAGCTCTTCCCCACGGCGTTTCAGGGCCTCAAAAGAGGGCTGCAGCTTCTCCAGCTCCACGGTGGCGTTTTTGTTCTCGCTGATGCACTCCCGGATCTTATCGACCTCGGCGGGGATGAGGGGCGGCATGCGCAGGCGGGAGGAGAGGGTCTCCAGCGTCTCCAGCATGGGCTCAATTTTATCGTGGAACTGGAGAAGAGCGAGTCCATTAGGGCGGGCGAGAGGAGATTAAAGCAACGCTGCATCGCTCCCTGCATGTGCAACAGCCCTTAGCGCTGCACCCAGCCGCCTCTCGGAGAGGACAAACGTTGCCTGCAACAGCAATTAAACCTGCAGCCTCCTCTTTCCCCCCGCCTCTGCTTTCCTCTGCTGCCAACAGCCCCGGGCTGCACCAGCTCAAACCATACATCAGCCATACAGACCCGTAGAGCCGGCCCAGGCAACGGCGAAGCAAACACGGCAGTGATTTTGTCATCGGATTCAACCCTACAAAATTCACGGTTTTGACCGCTTCTCGCGGGCAAGGCAGCGTGGCAAGAAAACCCAATCCCGTTCGTTTGAGCATCCGCGCAAACACGCGGCTGGAAAAGCGCCCGCGTTTGGTGCCGACGGCAATCTCCGCTCGGTGCCGCGCCAGCAAGAAAACCACCCCGGCAGGGTCAGCGGGAGATGGTGGGAGGCTGCATGCGCGCGGGGAGGAGCGAGCTGACACGGAGCTGGGGCTTCGACAAAAGCAGGACCAGAAAGCCAGGAGTGAGAGGGGAAGGGGGTCCAGCAGGGATTATTATTATGACTATTATTTTAAAGAAAAGTCAGCTTTGGCCTTAAAGATCCCAAATCCTCTCTGCTGGTGAGGAGGACAGCTCTGCACGCCGGCTGCCAGCTCCGGTCCCTCTCTGCAGGACGCCAGCCAAGTCCCAGGCTCTGACAGCAGAGAGGAGAAGGGCTCTCGGCGCAAAGTTGATCGGGGGGCGCGCTGGCTCGGCCAACAAGCAGGAGCAAACTGGCACGTCCAGCCAGGGCAGAAAGCTCCACGCATCGGTGCAAACCGCTCTGAAAGCAAACCCTCTGCTTTGCAGGAAGCATTCCCCGCAGAAGCTGGCCACGGCTGAGACCGGGCGGCAACGCAACGGAAGCCATCTCGGAAACGTGATTTCAGGCCCCCAGGAGTTAAATTTTTAAGCACGTTCTGCTGAGCTGCGCAAGGACCAGAAACAAAAAGTCTGGGTGTAAAATAGAAGCAGGCCAAAGAAAGGGTGTAAATGAACGTCTGTGGCGGTGGGGCTTACCTCCGTAATCTGCAATGGTGGGGCGCAGTCAACACAAGAATGAAATGGGACCATGTGGGGAGGACGGGCACAGGCAGCAACACACACAGATAACACATTCCACAATGGGAGTGAGAGATGAGACGGGAGGGAGGTGTGGGGGGGGAAAAACTCGGAGTTAATACAAGTGCAAACCAAGAGAAGTGACTACACAATACAGGAATTAAAATAAAAAAAAAAACAAACATAAAAATAAATGCCCAGACATGACAAAAACCAACTCTGCTACGGTAACACGAGATGAAGTGAAACATAATTAAGGTCATAAACCCTCAGCAGCATCTCTTTCTGGATTTTAGCATCTACGGTCTCTGCCCTTCCTTTCCTATCTCTGCTCCCGTGGATGCTGACCGTCTCCGGAGATGCCCAGACCCCGGAGACGACCATTAACTCTCCCATACAAAGGATCCCATGGCTGTTCGCTGCACACAGGTTATCAGAAATGAAACTTATCTCTCCCAGCTCTTTCAAGAGCCTCCCCGGGGCCCTTCCAACCTTGGGTGGATGCCAAAACAGCCCCTTGGAATGAGCATCAGTTATTGAGGCTGTAAAAATTTATTACCCTATTTACTACATCCACATTCAAATGCCTTCTCCCCTGCTTTCGCAGCCAGAGCTGAGCAGGAGGAAACTGCCCGAGAGGTGTCTGACCACGTTGGGCCTTCTAAAGGGCTTTGCAAAGGTAACGCTCGGAATAAAACCGCGTTTCAAAGCCTGTGGCTTCCCCAGGGGACTGGGACAAGAAGATTTGGCTCCTTTGCACCCCAGCGTACCTGGGTAGACTGTGAGACAGCTTCGTCGAGCGCAAGAGCCCGCTGGCACACCTCCTCCTTGATTTTGGCATACATGGCCTCAGCTGTAGAGTATTTTTTCTGCACCATCTCCCCTTCCTCAGGGTTGAGGTCCTTGAGCTGCGGCCCAATTTTCAGCAGCTTGTCAATATGAGGCTTATGTTCAGCAATGGACTCTCTCAGTTGCTAGGGAATAGGGGAAGAAAAAAAAAAAAAAAAAGACATTTGTTTAGAAACCTATTGAAAGCCACTGCCTATTTATTTCATGCAACTCTCCAGGAGCAGCGATCATATCTGGTAGTGAACTCACACCGTGGCTGTCTCGACCCAGCATCTGCCAAGCACATGGCACTCGGCTCTTCCTAACATGGCCACAGCTCTGCACGCACCGGCACGTCACCCGGCATGGGTCCTTCCCCCGGCGTGGCTGGGTCCCGGCCCCCCCCCCCCCCCCCCCCCCGGCCCACGGGGGCCACCACACAGAAAACTCACTTTGCAGCTCTCTACCCTAAAAGCACAAAGCGGTTTTCCCTGCCACAACCAGGCAGGAGATCCAAAGGCAGCCGGGCTCCCTTGGGTACAATCTGTGTTTTAGTAAGAAGCATTCCAACGTAACTAGCGATTTCCACATGGTACGCTCACGGCACGCCTGTGTTACATGGGGAGGATCCCCCAGAAGAAGCGGATCGGGGGAAAAAAAAATAAAAAATCAGAAAAATTCAGAAAAAAAAGTTGTTCTTGCCCCTGCGAGTGCTGCGCCTCCGTTTAAGGTTGAAGAACCGAGGGCGGAGGAGATGCAAACGCTGCATCCTCTTACCCTCATGTCCTCCTGCTGCTGCTTGAGCTGCTCGTGATCGATGGCCGGAGGGGGCAGCTGGGAGATGAGGGCTTGCGTCTCCTCGATCCAGGGGTTCAGCTCCTCGTAGGTCTCCCAGAACTGGTTGACCAGGACCTGGGCGCGCTCCAAGCGAGCATAGCGTTCCGAGTTGAGCTGGCTCACGGCTTCATACTGTTGCACCAGGGATTCGGTTTTCTCCTAAAAAAAAAAAAAAAAAAGAAAGAAGAGAGAGGGGAGTTCTAGCGAGGGATTCAAAAGGGCCCAGGACCAGCGCCAGCTGCACGCTGCGAGCTGGAAGGGCAGGAGTTGCCTTTGGTGGCTTTCCACGCGTGCAAGCTGTAATTCCAATTAAAGCAGCCTCAGATATCTCCTCCGCGCCCCCCCCATCCCCAAACACCGCCATAAAACTGTGTAATAAAGGGGAGTAATAAATGTAAAGAGATTTCTGCTAATGCTGGTGGGAATTACTAAAGACGGAGTAATTTTAAACTGCTTCAGCCTGTGCAAGAGCAGAGCGTTCGCCTCTCTCCCCTCTCCGTCTCCCCAGGCGTGGTAGAGAGCAGAGGGAGGCTCACCTGGAGAACAGCTTTTTGTTCCTCCCCACACGTCCCGAAGATCTCGTTGCGCTGGCTGAACAGTTCATCCATAGAGTCTTTGTGCCGAATAATGTCGATGGAAAAAGCCTGCAGAAAGGAAACGTCCAAAGAAAGGAAAAAATCAGAGCCAAGCCCAAGCTCTCCCCACCACCCCAGCCCATCCACGGGACCCTCCTGCCCTGCGCCAGCCGCAGCCGAGCTCCGCACGGCAGAGACCACACAAAACTCGGCACAAGCGTCCCGTGGCACATTGAAAATCTGGCTGAAAATGCAGATTGCTGCGTGTTTTTCTCACGACTCATCTAACATCCACCTCTCTCTTCCAAAGGCCTGAAAACAGCTCTGGAAATGAGGTACCGGTCAACTTCCACACCCAGGGTCCTCACCGGAGGAAAAACTCTGCAATCCATTTGTTAGCGAACACATTAACCTCCCGAAACGATGTTCTCCAGAACTGCATCTACCAATAATTTTGCCATTCCCAAGGTCTACGCGATTAACAGCGGGAAGCCAAGCTGAGCTCAATTTAACTCAACGCTTGATGGTTCAGCCCCCCTCCCTTATAACAACCTCTCTTCTTTTTTTTTTTTTTTTTTTTGTAAAAATCCAATAAGCCTGTGTGCTGCTCTGATTGCCGAGGCTGGTAAGGGAAGAAAAGGGCCGTTTATTTAAAGTGCACGTTCTTTCAGGCATGAGCTCATCTCAAAGATATAAAAAAACCCCAGCGTCTCTTTGTTCCACGTCTGGCTGCTGGGAGGGAAACGAGGAGTCCCCCACTGCAAGGAACAATGACCAAAAAGCAAATGGAAAAGCACCCTCATTAATCAATATATACATTTCCCTAAAGCCTCCCTGCTGCCAGCGCCTGCCCAGGCAGAGCTTGCTCCCGCCGCCTGCGAGAGGAGCGGCTCTCGAGGGGAGCCCAAGCGAGAGCACCCATCCAGCCCTGAACGGCCGTGCAAAGGTTTCGGGCTCCTGCAAATGCACAGGAGACTTTTTCCTTCAGAAGCCCAACATTTCATTTCTCTAAATCTTCTTTCTCCCTCATTTTTTTTTTTCCTTTTACTTAACCCAGGACAAGTGCTGCATCTCTCCTGGTGCTCTGGGCTCAGCGCTACAAACCCCAGGGTACAGCTTCCCAGCAGCCAAG